CAGCCTTTTAGAGAGTCATCGAAAATGGGACTCTTGCATGGAAGGAAAAGAGGCAGCCGTGTCCCCGCAGCCAGAAGGAGCAGGAGCGATTCCTGGGAGGCGAGCATTCGGCTCATCCTGCGGTTTCCTGGAAGGGCCCCTTCGCCACCCACTTCTCGGCCTACGCTCCCCCTGGATGATCTCATGTACCAGTGCTGGAGCCTCTGGAGAGGGAATCCCAGCCCTGGGCTCCGCGGCCCCTTGACTCTCTCTTCACCCCAGACCTGCTGTCCCCTCCTTTTCTGCTTTGCAGAATGGCCTCTCTGTTGCTTACGACCGGAAACCGAGGAAGCATCCTACCAATCTCCTTCCCAGCTCACTGTCCTTCTGACTCCACCGTCCTTTGTGTCTCCTGAACCCCTCCTTCCCCCCCCGGTGGTGGCTCTTGTCACTTCCCATCTGGAGGACCACAATGGCCCGTCAACCTGCCCTCCGTCTTGCAGCCAGTGTGAGCTTCTAAAATGCAACCCACGACCCTCTCTCCCCTGCCCACTGTGCTTATAGGTCACTTCCTGCGCTAAGTAACCGAGGCCCCTGGGATCACGTCCACGGCTCTTCCTCTGGCCTCACTCCACGGGCCTGGTCCACACAGCTTCACGTCTAGCCATTCACAACCACCCAGCTCCCTATTGGGCTTCACATAGTTCACGCCCCCCACCTGTGCCCCGGCCCTCCCTGGCCCCTTCCTCTCGCCCATCCCCCCTCCTTGGCCAGCTGTGGAAGCCAGCTCCAGCCTCCTCCCCCTCCTCCGGGCTCCAGGAACACAAGTGTCCACAGCACCTGGGAGCATCCGTCCGGACAAGGTACTGCTTCACTGTGTCTTCAGAACAACGAAGTGAAATTGCCCCAGCTGAGAGCCACTGCCCCCTGATGGCCAGCTCCTCTGGGGCAGAAAGCACGTCTTATTTGATGCTCATCCCTAGAGCTTCCCCTGGTGCCTAAGAGGCAGTAGATGTTCAATAAACACGCAACGAATGAAAGAAAAAAGGAACCAATGTTCCCTTTGATTTGCCAGCAGGACAGTCAAATGGTACAACCTCTGGGAAGACAACTCAGCATTATCTAGAGACATTACAATGAATACACCCTCTGACCCAGTCATTTTTCTGTAGGAATTTCTTCTACAGCTATATGCATGCACAGGTAAAATGATCAACGTTCCAGGTTATTTATTGAAGCTTTGTTTTAATAACAGAAGGCAGGACGTCTCCTTGCCCATCTGTGGGACACGTTAAATAAGCCATGGCCCTTCATGCTGTGGAATGAATGCAAGGCAGCTGTAACTAGGATGAGAAACCCTCCATGTACTGATGTGGAAAGACCTCCAAGACACTTAAGAAATTTTAAACAGCAGAATGCAGAGTGGACTGTTTGTACTTAATTGTATATGGATAAAGGAACTCTGGGAGGAGACACAGGTGCTGGTAATAGTACCTATGTGTGCGTGCGTGCGTGTGTGCATGGGTGTGCGTGTGTGTATGCATATGTGTGCGTGGCTGCGTGTGCGTGCGTGCGTGTGGGGGGGGAGATGAGGTGGGTCTGGGCAGATTGAGGGCAAAAGGTGGAGGAAGATTTTTCACTGCATTCCTACTTGTGCTTTCCGATTTTTAAATCTTATAAATGTATTGCCTACTTGAAATAATTATTTTTATAAGGAAGAAAATTATAATGGAATTTACATGTAATAAAATGTGTACCATTCTAATAATTGGTTAATTCAATAAAATTTTATTATAGTTATTGTTGCAAAGAAGAGTTCTATATTAAAATACAGTAAAACCTTTTTCAAATCCACGCCCATTCATGTCCCATTTAAAAATACTGGGCATTTCTAGTTTTAATAAAGTGTCCTCTAAAGAAAGGTTCTGTGCAACAAATGTTTTCTCTAGTCCAGTGTAACGGTCAGTATTATTTTTCCCCCAATCGTAGCTTCAACTGCACTGCCCCGGTGTTCACTGAGAGGCTACTTGGTACCCGACACAGAAGTCGATGCTCTGAGAGGTGTGAGATGAACAGGGTGCAGCCCCCGGTTCCGAGCTGTTTACAACCTAACCAGAGCGCATCCTGTCTGGGTCCCTCACTTTGCTTCAGCCTTCGTCACCTCGCTCTCTGAGCCCCTTTCTCTTTTTTTAAAAAAATCTTTATCGGAGTCTAGTTGATTTACAATCTTGGGTTAGTCTCTGCTGTGCAGCAAAGTGAATCAGTTATATGCATACATACGTCCACTCTTTCTTAGACTCTTTTCCCATAGAGGTCTTTACAGCGTACCGAGTAGAGTCCCCTGTGCTCTATAGCAGGTCCTTACTGGTTATCTGAGCCCCTTTCTGAAATAGCTCCACCACCTCTTCCCTCTCCAGTCCCTCATACTTGCCGATTTTCCCTCGTGTCTCTCGTCAGCAGCTCACAAATTGCATGTTCGTTTGATCATCATTCGTCTTCTCCAACTAGAACAGTACCTGCCCCATAGCAGACTGTCAATAATTACCTGTTGAACAAATACATAACTGAGTCAAGAAAGGAGGGGCTGAGCATTCCATGTTACAAAGGTGGTGTAGACAGTACACAGGGCCAAATAAAGTCGAGAAGAATCAGGGATCCTACACATGAGTTTGGGGCGGGGATGGCTGGAGAGTCATCATAAAGACAGCGGATCCGAGGTCTCTTGTGTGCCTCACTTGGTCAGAAATAATCCCTAAGAAGCTAACGGCCCACAAACAGGAGGCAGACCTAAATTCTGCGCAAAAGATCATCAAGTAGAATCAAAAACCCAAGCCAGGGCTTCCCTGGTGGCGCAGTGGTTGAGAGTCCGCCTGCCGATGCAGGGGACGCGGGTTCGTGCCCCGGTCCGGGAAGATCCCACATGCTGCGGAGTGGCTGGGCCCGTGAGCCATGGCCGCTGAGCCTGCGCCTCCCGCAATGGGAGAGGCCACGACAGTGAGAGGTCCACGTACCGCAAAAAAAAAAAAAAAAAAAAAAAACCCAAGCCAGAGGCCGAATATAAATTTATCTAAAGACTCAACAGTCCTCACGAGTCCTCGTAGGATCGTGTTCTACATCCTAGTAGCTGGGAGATAGCACGCTCTGTGCTACTTACACCCTGTTTATTTTTTATTTTCTACTTTTAAAAATTTTATTTATTTTTTCGGCTGCTTTGAGTCTTAGTTGTGGCATGCGGGATCTTTCGTTGCAGCACAGGTTCTTCATTGCAGTGCGCGGGCTTCTCTCTAGTTGTGGCATGCAGGTTTTCTCTCTCTAGTTGACGCACGCAATCTCATTAGTTGTGGTGCTTGGGCTTAGTTGCCCCACAGCATATGGAATCTTAGTTTCCCGATCAGGGATCGAACCCGCGTCCCCTGCATTGGAAGGCGGATTCTTTACCACTGGGCCACCAGGGAAGACCCTATACCCTGTTTAAATCCCTTTGATTATGATACCCTTTTCCCTCCTTTCTGGCCTCAGATAAAGCGGCAAGCTGAAGCCTTCATTACTTACCTGGACCTTCCATTAAAGGCTCCGTCCGCAGACAGTCAGGGTTGGGAGGGCGTTCCCCTCCAGGCACCTGAACGGAAGATTAAATGGCTGATGGCTCTACAATGATGTCAGAGAAGGCTGGTGATGATGCATTAGCCACCTTGTTTCCAGAACAGTCACAGGAGTGCAAGCCTTCTTGTCACGCTTCATCAGACTTGTTGGAGAGCTGGGCAGGTATAGCAGAGGGTGTGCTTGTACAGACAGGCGCTGTTACAGGCGGTGAGAGCGTGTGCTTATACACACATGACACTGAAATCAGAGCCTCTATTTTATCTTTTTAAAATTTATTTTATTGAAGCAGAGTTGATTTACAATGTTGTGTTAATTTCTGCTGTACAGTAAAGTGATTCAGTTATACACTTATATACATTCTTTTATATTCTTTTCCATGGTGGTTTATCCCGGGATATTGGATGTAGCTCCCTGTGCTATACAGCAGGACCTGTTGTCTGTCCATTCTGTACAGAGTAGTTTAGAGCCTCACTCCCGTGCATCCCTTCACGGTAACAATTTTCATCCTCTGGGCCTGTCATCAGCTCAGCACTGTGACCACCCCACCCTGAGACGCCTTCATCCTCCATGTCAGTGACCCCGGCCTGTACCCCTGCTTTCGAGGCAAAACAGCTGGGGGTACAGGATGCGGCCCTCGGCTCTGGGCCTTGTTGGGGGTTCTGCAAGCTGCTCCAGGTCTCTGACCCTCAGTTTTTTCAAGTGGTGCTTCCCTCTTTAGGTCATTGTGAGAATTAAATGAATTAATACTTGAAAGACCCACAGACTAGTGCTTGGAATGTAACAAGCACTTAATCGACCTTAGTTGTGGTCGTTTCATCTTTGGATTCTCCATCTCCTTCTCTGGCTCCTTTTCTGGTTCCCTGAAGATGACTCAACTTTGCCCACTGACCTTCTTTTGTGGGCAGGGACCCTATGCTGTGTATGACTGGGCATCAGACTCGCTCGGTTCAATACTGTTCCCATAGTAGATTCTTAATAAACATGAATGAAAGAGTAAAATCATAATGTTTTGAGCCCAGTTCTGTGTGTAATTTTTCCACAAGGTTTGGTGGCTGCCACCCAGTCATAATCTAAACCAGAAAGTACACTTTAGAGGATAATTTAATTTCCTTGGCTCATTAAATCTCGTAATTTGGGAAGTGGCTTCAGTGATGTGGTCACTTTCCTGCTCAGCCCCAAATCCAGAACATCAGCTCATGAAGAATCAACATGTGGAAATGTTTATCAGCCTCTAAGTGCCAGCGCAGAAGGTCCTGCTGCAGCCTGCAGCCAGTCAGTCAGAGAACACAGTTCTAGCAGGAAGGACAAGAAACACAAAAGCCAGTTAAGGTGTCCTCACTGCCTGGGGGCTTTTCATCTGATTATGATACAAAGTCAGTATCCCCAAAATGATTTAAAAATCAATAAGGCTAGGGAGTTCCCTGGTGGCCAAGTGGTTAGGATTCAGCACTTTAACTGCTGTAGCCCAGGTTCCATTCCTGGTCGGGGAACTGAGATCCCACAAGCCGTGTGGCCAAAATAAAAATAAATAAATGCATATGGTATTGGTAATAAGTGTCACAGGAATTTAGAGGCAAGAAAGATAAAAATAACACCATTTGAGGGACTTCCCTGGTAGTGCAGTGGTTAAGACTCTGTGCTCCCAATGCAGGGGGCCCAGGTTCGATGCCTGGTCAGGGAACTAGATCCCGCATGCATGCTGCAACTAAGAGTTCCCATGCCACAACTAAGGAGCTGGCGAGCTGCCACTAAGGAGACCGCCTGCCGCAACTAAGGAGCATGCCTGCCGCAACCAAGACCCAGTGTAACCAAATAAATAAAATAAATATTTTTTTAAAAATATAGCATTTGAGGACTTCCCTGATGGCACAGTGGTTAAGAATCCACCTGCCAATGCAGGGGACACGGGTTTAAGCCCTGGGCCGGGAAGATCCCACATGCTGCAGAGCAACTAAGCCCTCTCCCCACAACTACTGAGCCTGCGCTCTAGAGCCCGTGAGCCACAAATACCGAGCCCGTGTGCCACAACTACTGAAGCCCATGAGCACTGAGTCCACGTGCCACAACTACTGAAGCCCTCGCGCCTAGAGCCTGTGATCCGCAACGAGAGAAGCCACCGCAATGAGAAGCCCACGCACCGCAATGAAGAGTAGCCCCCGCTCATTGCAGCTAGAGAAAGCCCGCGTGCAGCTTTGAAGACCCAACACAGCCAAAAATAAATAATAAATAAATTAATCAAAATTAATTAATTAATTAATTGATTGATTAAAAACAGCTTAAAATACAAACAAAATACCCACTTGGTCAGATACTTCTCTGCCCTTTCATTTATTTTTCCTTTCCTTACACATAAGCATGTTCACAAAGAAAATTGAGGGACTCCTAACCCCTTGTTAATACACAAATCCCTCTGTCTTTTCCAGTTAAAACTTTGAGCTTCCTAAGAACAGGCCACATAGGTTAAAGTGTCCAAAATTATTAATCAGAGGCAGAGGCCAGTATATTATGAGGTGTCATTCTGTTTCTCTTCCAGACATTTGGCCTTTGAAGATGATACCAGACTGTTACCTGAACAAGCAAAAAAAAAAAAAGCAATTAACTTGGTTCCAAAGAGGAGATCAAATGCTAGGAACAGGCAAGAGATCAGCCTGACAGGTAGGGGGGGTGTGGGCAGGAAACTTAGATCAGAGTAAAGAGAAGCCTCCCCTCCCCCAATTCTCCTTCCGTTTCTGTTCTCTGCAGGTGGCACATGGCACCTGCAAGGTGGTTTGGGGAGAGCAGGTGAGCCGTGACCTCCAAAGCCGGGGTTCGGGTCAGGCGTTGACAAGGCCTCTGTGTGACCGAGATGTGCTGCTGTCCTAGCAAGAGCTTTCCTGTGAACTGAACTTAACAAACCTGAAAACAATTTAACGAGAACCGTTATTAAGTTGGCTTAAGTGAACTTAGAAAGAGTTTCACTTGAGGACATCACACGCAGCATGGTGACTCTGGTTAAGAACATGCATTGTACACTTGAACCTTGCTAAGAGTCGACCTGGGGCATCCACACACGGAGGAAACGGTGAGGCAGTGGGTGGATCCCACAGGTGCATCGATCATGCAGGCGCTCCCCCTCGGTACATAGCAGCTCGTCAATTATACTTCAGTTATGCCTCCCGTCCCCTGGTAAAGCTGCGGGACTTGACTAATTACACAATGAGAAGATTTTTAGATCTGAAACGGATTTCAAAGTCATCTAGTTCAGTCCCTTCGTTTTACAGAAGCAGGAAAATGGGGGTGAAGTGACCGCTGACGACCGCCCAGCAGGGGGGAAAAGGATGCCAGGTGCCCCATCACAGGTGTGTCCCATGGGCTAAATTCCTCTGTCTTCTGGCTGCGATGGCCTGAGCTCTTCAGCAGACTGGACCTTCCTTTCCTGACCCTCGGCCCCTAAGGCACAGGAGTCTTCTTTTCCAGAGCTGGAATACAGTGGGATTTCTTCTGCCTGGTAGACGGGCAGGTTTGAATTTGCTGGAGTGGAAGCAGGGAGAGGTGAGAGAACTGGTTATGGTGGGCCTGCAGCCGCAAGCCCAGAACAGTACATTTTACAATCTGGCGGCTCAAAGTTTGGGGAAGGGACCCCGTCTTAGTCCGTTTGGGCTGCTTTGACAAAAACACCATAGACCGGGTGGCTCATCAACAGCAAAGCCTGTCTCTCACAGTCTGGGCGCTGGATGGCCAAGGTGTGGGTGCCACAGATTCTGAGTCTGGTGAGGGTCCCTTAGTGGTTCTGAGACCCCCTTCCTCCCGCTGCGTCCTCGCTGGCGGGAAGGAGGGAGAGCTCTCTGGGCCTCTTCATAAGGGCTCTCATGCCGCATGTGACCTCATCACCCCTGTGTCCCCATCACCTCTCCAAGGCTCTCCCTTCACACTGGGGGTTAGGATTCAGCACGTGAAATTTGGAGGGACACACGCTTTCAGACCATCACAGACCCAGTCCCTTAAAGTCGTTTTATTTCAATGGATGCTGGTTAGGTACTAGCGCAAAGCATTGCTCGGGCGCGGCAGTGGCAACATGGATGGAAACCTCCGTGGCCCCAGTTACAGGGCCGGCCTCGTCAGCAGCTCCTTCCAATAGAAAGAGGAGAGAGTAAGCGCGGGCAGAGAGGAAAGCAACATGCGAGGAAGAAAGGCTCCCCCTCGGCCCTGGGAGAGGCACTGCCTCAAAGAATACTTAGGATTTGGACAGAATCCGAGGGGCAGAGCTGGGGGAGCCCCGCGAGTTCAGAGTCAGTAACCGCTCCCTGAGTGCCCTGTGACGCAGGGTGTTAGAGAGTCGACTGTCAGGGTCAGTCCCAGGTCACAGAGTGTCCCCCGTGCCGCTCTGACTCACGGGAGCTGGGACTAGGCGCGGCCAGCGAAGCCACCAGGGGGCCACGGGTGGGCCAGGACATCAGGCACACACCCAGCTTCTAGAGAGGCTCCTCCGTGTTGGAGAGAAGGCGGCTGAGGACGTGGCCCCCCTTCGCATGGGCCTCAGAGCTAGGAAAATGCAGGGAAGTCCATCAACCAGCGTGCCTTAGATTGTGCCCATAGGATCCCTGCAGCTGCGCTCAGGAGAGCCCCCTTCTCTACCCTTCGTGGGCAGGACTGCGTCTCCCAGGCCGACGGGAGGCAGCAACAGGCCAGAGCTTCTCCTACAAAGGCTGTGTGTCCTGCAGAGGCTGCGCCTCCCGCCTGAGCCCACCTCCAGCTGGATGAGGCTCCCCCCACGGCCTGGCGTCCCCCCAGACACTAGCATTTCAGGAGTGGTGATGTTGCGTGGTCCCTGCATCCTCCTAACCCTCAGGTGGCAGTGGTTCCAGCTACTGCTAATCCCCAGGGGACTCCTAAGCACTGCTTTGGCCCCTCATGCATCCAGCTGCCGGTCCTGGGATGTCTGCCTCCCTGGATGGACAGACTGAACCCCAGAGCCAGCCCACTGCTGCTACGGGCAGTGCCTTTGCTTATAAGGCCATCTGTATCCCAGAATATATCTGTGTGTTTTAATATGAAAATAACGTTTCCCACAAATCTCAGCATGAGTCGAGCACCTCCCTCTTTCCTGCTTCTTCGTGGATGGACCGGGATCCCCCAAGTGGCCTTTGACCATCTGTATGAGTCCACTCAGGCTGCAGAGCAGAGCACTGTGGATGGCGGGCCCTCTCACCATTCTGGAGACAGGTAGCCCCAGATCAAGGTCCAGCAGGGTCAGTTTCTGGTGAGGCCTCTCGTCCTGGCTTGCAGACGGCCACCTTCTCACTGTGTCCTCACCTGGCCTCCCTCTTTGCATACACTCCTGGTGTCTCTTCCTCTCCTTGTAAGGACACCAGTCCTACTGGGTCAGAGCCCCACTCTTATGACCGCATTTAACCATAATTACCTCCCTAAAGGCCCCATCTCCAAGTACAGTCCCACTGCGGGGCTTCAACTTGTGAATTTTGGACAATTCAGTCCCTACCACTGGCCCTGTAATCTTCGGGCAGAACTGCAGAAAATTCATCCCTATTATGAAGATGCTTATTCCAACATTTCCAGGCTTTTAACAATCCCAGGGGGCAGAGACAGTGTCTCCCCAGAGGCCACTACTGAACCTCCCAGGAGTCTAAGAACTACCCGCCCTTCCCGCCCAGGGCTCCCCTCAGCATTGACAAACAACCACCTACACCGACCACACGGAAGGCACCGAGAGGGTCCTCCTGGGAAGAGGCTGCCTGGGGGTTGGGGTGGATCGGAGCGTGGGCTAGAGTTGCTCAGGCCACAGATGCCGGGCGGGGATCTTCTTAGGCTCTTAGGTATTATAGTTGTGAGGCAGTGAAATCTCTTCTCCTTTTTCTGCTCCCATTTTTTTTCTCCTTTGTTCCCTGGTTAAGTCCTGGTGTGAGAAGTACAGCCCTAAACAGGGAGGCACCGGGTACTGTTCCATGGGGCTGTTCACGGGCCGCTCGCTCTGGACACAGGTCGTGGCCACACCCCTGGCTGTTCCCCGTCTTGTGACACTCACAGTCTCGTATGGAACTTTGAGTCCCCTCAGCTATTCCAGTAGCTCATTTGAGTCACAATTTGAGAAAGTCAGCAGAGGGTTTGTTACCACTATGAAATTGACCATATCCACTTTTGGGGGAAATTAAGCCAAATAGAAAATAATACAGGGACTTCCTTGGTGGAACAGTGGTTAAGACTCTGTGCTCCCAATGCAGGGGGCCAGGTTCAATCCCTGGTCAGGAACTAGATCCCACATGCCACAACTAAGAGTTCACACGCCACAACTAAGGAGCCCACCTGCCTCAACTAAGACCCGGTGCAACCAAATAAATAAATAAATAAATAAATAAATAAATAAATAAATAAAATACCTAAAAAAAAAGAAAATAATACGAAGTCAAATAGTACAACAAGCCACCTTCTCCACCCTGAACCAGAGCCGACCAGGGCTAGGTTTCTGGCCCTTATGAGCCGCTGCCCCTTCTCT